AGTGGGATCCTTTTTAGTTAGGCTACATAGTTGCAATACCTTTGATGCACTAATTCTACTCTAGATACTTATGTATATCGCTACGGCGACGTTTAGATACTCAGCTTATCGTTTTATTTGTTTGTGTAAGTCTTTATTTTTTCTTACTTTTTATTATTTTTTTTGTACTCCTTACTTGGACTGCCGAAATTGACTTTCGTTTAGTCAGACAGTCACTGCTGGGGTTATTATTTTCTATACTGGTATCCTTGATTAATTAATAAAGTATCTTCTAGATTTTTAAATGTTTGTGTGTACTTGATATTGATAGTGGGAACAGATTTTCTCTCGTTCTTTTCTTTTGTTCTTATTCTTCAAGGGTTACCCCCTTATCTGTTCCTATAATTCCAAGATACCGATTTTCTGGCCAAATGTTTCATTAATTAAATATAGATCTGCAAACATGTGTTTACCAAATCTTAATTTTTACATAAATCACAGTAAAATAATGCAAAGTTCCACTCGGGTGTCTGTCATTTAAAGGAAACTATCCATTCTTTATGAACACGTCAATTATCTCCCATCTGACACTTTTCTTCATGCACAGCTATGATGTCCTAACCACTGTCCTGCTATCTGTCATGCAATGTGTAACAGTATGGAGACTGTGCTTGTTCTTTTGGACTCTCACCATTTACTGATATATCTAAAGAAAGGTTTGTCTCTATTTTGTCTCTATTTGTTACTGTCGGGAACATTCAATCATCTTATTTTGCATACATAATCGGACTGACTGTTTATACTACATATACATTTTTTTTTCTTTATACCAACCAAGTTTATTTATATTTTCTGCAAATGTTAGGCTTGTACCAAATTACGTTCAATTCTGCTATTGGCCCCCTTGTGTTTGCATGCATTAGTATTCTATGTGTGTGTGTTGTGGTGTTGTGATGCTTGTTTGTGCACATTGTGCTGTTTGTTTGTAGCTATGTATCACAGCTGCCCTTTCAAGAACATGTGTTGTGTTGCAGGTATCATGTCATATTGGGTGCTTCTTGGAACTTCACCAAACCTTCTTCCATTTAAGCGTTTTTTATGAAAAGTTTTCTGTTTGTTTTAATTTTTTTTTGTTTTTGTTTTTTTATGCCTGCTGGACATCCATTGACTGAGGTTGGTACATGCCAATCTTCTCCAGACTTTGGTTATTGTTCTACTAGCTAGGAAGAACAATTTAGACTATAGCTTAGCATAGTGACTACATTCTCTGTCTCAGCTAGTTATATATTTTTGCCCAATCATTAGCTCTGCTTATTAATTAATTCTGTATTTTCTCCTATATTCTACTTTGTCTGCCTCTCTGTTAACATATAAAAATAGAAGATGGTCCAGCACTCCCTATGCAAGCTCTCTTTTTATTTAAGGTGACAACATGTAAATACACAACGTTTCAACCTAATAATGAAGACATAATGAAGTTCAGGAATATATTTAATTGTGCTGGGAAGATCCTCCCATCATCTAGGACAGTGGTTCTCAAAACAGTCTTCAAGACCCACCAACAGTCCAGGTTTTGTTAGCATCTCCGTTGGAATAAAATAGGGAAATACATAAATCCTGGACTGTTGGTGGGCCATGAGGACTGGTTTGAGAAGCACTGATGTAGGAAGACCTTGTCTTTCACACAGAAGTAGATTCCGTTTGTCAGCCCTGGGTTGAATAACACCACTTGCCTCATTTACTCAGTTTCCCAAATGGAACTGCTTTTTTATGTCTTACTTTTTTCAGTACGTTCTTGACTTTGGCCTCTTTAAGAGCTGTCTTCTCTGGTGTTTTTCTTTCTCCATTCCACACCCATATTTCCTTTTATATGTGTTCATCAATGAATTGTGCCTTTAACGTATTGTGATTTGAGTTCCAGTTCAGGTCTAAGCTTTGTGGAATATATGAAAACACTATAACTCTATATAACTGTGGAAAATTACATAGAAGAAATGCCAGTAGATATTTTTCATTCTGCAGTTTCTAGCACAGCATTCACATGATCGTGCATTTACTATCCTTTTCTCCAGCTAATCATGTACAGTTTTCTAAAAAATATTCAGTATATCATTTATAGTCAAATAATCATTCTGTTTCTGTATATAGATATGTCTACCTTTTTAGTTTTCTTCTAATTATTTCCATTACGAATGTAAAAAAATAGCACTACTTACTTTTTTTCTGAAAATAGATTTATTTCCAGATGCTCAGGACCCTTAACCTATTATATAATAGCTATGCTTGCTGGAAGAACATCACTGTGATAAAAATGAATGTAGGACATTACATTTTACTGGTAAGACAGGCAAAATATTAGAAAAGTTCGAACCAGAGAGTTCTAGGAGAACATGGACAACTGTACTGTATTTTCAAACTATATATATACATGCTACAACTCCATCCAAGTCTGCCAAACACAATAATTATATGTGATTTGTTTCAACAAGCACTTAACACTTTAAAATTCATAACACTTTGTTAAAACATAACTCCCAATTTTGCAATAAAATACCATTTAGGATCATGAAGTTCCATTCAGTAAATGCCCATTTACTCAGATCCAAACATCTGTTGAATTTGCAAAAATCTGTTAAAATGTTCAGATATTAAGTTGATTTCCAATAACTGCACATAGTAATGGATGATGGGATAGAGGTTTAAAATGTTTAATTGATGGGGTATAGAGGACCATCTCTCCCTCAGGTTAGATGGTCTTCCTTTATGGTCCTTCCATACCCCCAACCAATGTGAAGTGTGTGTAGGAATAATAATAAAGTGCTTAGGCAGCCACTTATTTTTGGGCACCCCATTAAACATTTTAAATCATCTAAAACTAAACACACACAGAACCACTCCGTTACTAAAGAAGGACCACCAGGTGTAACGAATGCTGGTATTTCAGGTACCCGTTGATTTGCTTCCTCCCGAACTGCTAGATAATATGTGATTATAGCTCGCAGTTCAGTCGATTCGTACGCTCTCCAACGTAAAATACAGCATACAAATAAGTCCAACAGGTATTCAGACGCATACCCAAACATCATCCTAGACTAGATGAAGGGTACAATAGGAATGTTTTTATTCAGGCCAAATGGCCGGCTTTTATGCAAGTCAAGGGTACATTACACACGCCCACAGAAACCCACACAACATGCCCCTTAAATTACAGAGTCACAATGACTCAACATACAAAAATATATACAAAATAAATATGACTCAAAATACAAAATATAAAAAGTACATAATTCACATAAATATTATAGGGACCCCTATAAATGTAATATCCCCGAATAGCCTGGATCAGAGCACCCAAGTTGTCCAATAACGCTCAGATCCCACGAATAGAACCAAATCACCAATGGGGTAAAGATTAGACTGACCGCTCACGAGGCGCTTGCCCAAAATAGTTCCACAATTTCAAGGGTAGCGGTCGGTCAATATTGGGAGTCCCAATCCGAATAAATCCACGGAACGGTTCCCCTGGCTCATTGGTAGCGTTTGTTCACCGTAATCATGTGAACAAACCTACCAAACAGCCCTCTCCTGGCTTGCCTGAGAAAAGAAAGAGCCATTCGCGGAGTCGAGTGTCTGATTTGGAGTTCCAGACACTCGATGACTAGGTCCCGCTGCCTCCTTTCATACGACAAGATGGCCGCCGTTTTCTCCAGCATGCGTTGCTCGGTTACACGAACGACGGCCACACAGGAAGAGTGCTAATTCCTGTGGTTTTCTTGAACTTAATGAGCCAGGAGGGGTCGGTGTTCTGTAGATTTATCTACTGAACCAAAAAAAAAAAAATAACAAATGGGAACCAAAGTATGCAGTTTCTTCACACCTGGTATACTATATCCATTGATCATGGTAAAGAGAACGAGAGGGTGTGTGTGTGTGTGTGTTTGTAGGACATTCTATGTTACAGGGCCTGAGCAGTGTGATTATATGATATTTGTAAAAGCAATATTGAAGCTGAATCTGGTGTCTGATGAGCCATGATCTGCTTAGCAGTAACACATAGGTGGATAAGTGTGCCCAAAGATGTTACAAAATCATGGGTGAAGCTGCATTTGGGCCTCGTGAGAATCTTGAATGTTTCTATTTTAACACAAACACTCTTTATGTCTCTCATGATAGAGTACATCAGCTATAGCATAAATATCTAGTTTCCATTGTATTTGTCGAATTTTTGCGTACAGGCACAGGCACATGCACACGCAAAAACATCACTTTTAATATAAGTTTTATTAATTTAACCGTTAGAACCCTTTAAAATAAACATTTTTCCAAAAATCCTGTTCAAAATTATATTTATTTCTTCTTTGCCAAAATTTGGCATAAATATGTAAGTTTTACGAGGAAAGCATTCTACACAGCAAGCCCTCTTTAGCAAGGATTTTAGCACAATAAATGGTTTCCATGGACACTTTACTTACATAACTTCCCAGCCACAGTGTCCCTGGATTTTAAAAAGCCCAAATCCATGCAATGCTTTAATGGCTCCAGAGGCATATAACAATGTATGTAAAACAACACAACGTCCAAACAAATGCAGGTGATTAAAAGGAAAAAACAAAATGAAACCACAGTGAAAAACATTATTGATAAAAGCAGTATATATAATTAATGCATTCAACTTCTTAAACCCTGTCAATATTGGCAAGTTTAAAGAGAATACAAAATATATAATAGCAAAGTTAATAAGGAGACTTGTACACAGTTAGCTATAATATAATAAAGAGCAAGGGATATCTGAAAAGATTTAAATGAACATATAGGTAATAGATATTTCTATTTAACCTTAGTGTGAACCTTAATGTATTTATATTAATCCCTCCATCCCCTAATTTAAAATTAGAAAAAAAAGCCACTAAACTCATTTGTAAACCAACCCTAAGGCAGTCTTCTCTGAGCAGTCGGCCTTTTCTGAGAACATTGGTTGTGACGACATTGGTCCAATCCAATGCTTCCATTTAGAATCTACAGCGCATTTAAGGCAATCGCCAAACTCCTCCAGTCCAATGCTTCCCATTCACTAAATTGAATGCATCTCGTATAGAAGAAGCATTAAAAGCGTTTGGCATCATCATTCTGTGCATGAACCTGAAGACCGGTTTTAGAAGGTGTCTAGTGGCTACCAGAGAAAAGGGACAACATCTCTGTACCAAAACCACTTCATTAAGACGAAGTTGTTTTAGTGCTTAAAGTGTCCCTTTAATATTGCGGCCAGGAGAAAACGTACTCTTAAAATCTAAAATGTTTTTGTCAAACACTGCCAGGATACATTTCATTTGGTATTGAAATCTGTGTTGTCAATATACTTTAAAAATCTCACGTGAACGCAATGGTTCGTTATATAGATTTGTAATATCACTAAACCCAGCCACATTGCAGGCACTGGAAGACCGACAGCCATATACCTCTACCTACTTGGAAAATCCAATTCATCCAAGTCACCAGGATTGGCCTAATGATTTTTTTTGGAGTTTGTGGAGTTTTTTTTGTCTGTCAATTTAATATCCTAGATCTTAAGATCTCAGGGAAAGACAGAATATAGCCAGTCTCTGCTTGCCGTCATTGTAATTGCATTAAACATTTTTTGGGACGTGTGTGGAAATCATCAATAGGTGTAGACAGTATAAAAGACCAAGTGTCCCCACCCCAGGAGACGTGACAACTCATTACCCCTACCAGCACCTAGGTGACCCCATTCTACATCTCACCATCCATCTTTCTCTTCTCATAACGTGGCGAGTGGAGCATGGATGTGTTGTGGCTCGACTCTGGTAGCAAGGCGTATGACCAGATGTACTCATATGACTCAAGTGCATCACTTAGTCGCCTGAACGGAACTTTATATACTTTCAGTTGATATTTGATTTGTTTTATCGTCTCATTTAGACTTCCTCTAAAAATGCTCAGACAGCACAAGACTTCCGACGTAGCAATAGATCATGGATGGTTTAGATAGTCATAAGGGTAAACCGCTAAATCGACACTGCAAAATTGCTTCATTGTGATACACTGCTGACATGTAATCCAAGATCTGTGTACACTTGCATATGTCGATGATATTTCTTAATGCTTCGTTATTTGTTGGCTGCCTGAGCAAAAACAAACAAAAAAATGTATTGCATTTACAATACATTAGACAATACTTTTTTTTTAATTTTCCCCCATAAGGGTACAACTAGAGGACACTTCCACCATGTATGCATGTATGTTCCCATTGCAGCCACCGTGTATCCAGCATACGTCAAAGGGTGTCTCTCTCATCCTGAATAGTTTAAAGTGACAATATAGTGACCAAAACAACTTTAGCTTAATTAAGCAGTTTTGGTGTATAGATCATACCCCTGCAGTCTTATTGCTTAATTCTTTGCTATTTAGGAGTTAAATTACTGTGTTTATTCAGCCCTAGTCACACACCCCTGCATGTAACGCAGCCTTCCTAAACACTTCCTGCAAAGAGAAATCTGACGTTTACACTTCCTTTATTGCACATTCTGTTTAATTTAGAATGTCTTATATCATGCTCTGCTAATAGCCTTCTAGATCTTGCAGGAGCCTGTGTGTGATTAAAGTTTAATTTACAGAGCTAAAGATAAAAACATCTACAACAAGTAAACATCTGTTTGAAAATGAAACCATGTCTTCATGCAGGCTGTGCGAGTCACAGCCAGGGGAAGTGTGGCCATGGCTGCTTAAACAGAAACAAAAGTGGCAGAGAATTGAGCAATGAAACGGCAGGGGTAATGATCTATATACTAAAACTGCCTCATTAAGGTAAAGTTGTTTTGGTGACTATAGTGTCCCTTTAACTGGTGTAGTGTGCTATCTCACCATAATTCTAACCATTTGTTCCTGGAGTACTACAAATATTGAAACCATATTGGCAGCCTTCCATACATTTTCCCACACCCCACCCTCAGAAACAAACTTTTTAGATAACTTTTAAAACACTTTAATATATTTCAAAATAATAGTAGAATTTCACGGTCACTTTTCCGAACGTTTCATCTTTCCTCTTTTTTTTTAAAATGCATTTTCTACACTGACTGCTGGGTGCAAAGGACAGAGCTAATCCAATGATTGACACAGAGTTAAGATTAAAGTACCCAGTTTCAGGATAAAGAGGTGTTAATTAATTTTAATAATTTTATTTTATTTTTCACACCTCACAAATAAATATTTGTTACCTAACTGGAATAATTAAACACAAAATTAAAAATCCTGGGAAGTGACAGTCCCCTTTAACAAATATGCATTCGTGAAATGAGAAAAATAAATGTAGGTATCCACACCTCTTTCTCATGCATCTGTTCACCTCCAACGTGGCTCCTTTTTTATAGTAAAATCCCCGTAATGTAAGTAATGGATTGAGGTGGGAAGGAGGGACCGCACAGAGGGAGGGAGAGCAAACATCACTTTGCAGGTGCGATACCTGCAAGGGAAGAGATTGTTACGTCTGTTGCCAGCGTGCAGTGAACAGCAGAAACGCTGCACATAGACACCTACCACCATGACCACTTCAAATCACTGGTCGTGGTGGTTGATGTAACCCTTTATTACAAGTTACAGGTGATGGTCAAAGTTTTATTTAGTGTTGACATTTTCTAGAGAAGTGATAAATTGTAGATTTTTACAAATTTAATAAAAATTATTGAAAAGACAGATGTGTTGAAATAGTCATGAAAGGAAAAAAGAACAACTTTACAAAAGGAAGAAAAGAGAAATAAATGAGTCTAGATAAAGTAAGTAAATGTACAGTTTACACCAGAGGTGTCCAACCTGCGGCTCGGGACCGCTAGCAGTGTGGCCCGGTTGTAACCAGGATTGCCAATCGGCGAGGGAACCCTTTAAATTCTGTGCTCCACCAGGACAGCTCCCGCGCCTTGCGTGAGGGACCTGTGCAGGAAGAGCACAGAGATCTCAGTCCAGCAGAAATCACTGGCCACCAGGGACCGGAGGATCCATTCCAGCCCTCCCAGAGCAAGATAGGGAGACTGGGTGGACCTCTTAAGTACTGAATGTGTGTGTGTGTATGTGTAAGTGTCTTACCTGGAGGTGGGAGTCTGAAGTGATGAGTTAAGGCACACCCTTGCAGTTTAACACAAACCAAGGAGACTCTAGGAGGAAATCTGTAAGATTATGAAACAATGCACTGGGGCTTTGCAGGAAAAGTACTCCTATACAAGCAAAACAGACAAGGGAATTCCAATTGAGTAGTTAGGTACGGTTCCAGTGGTCGGGGCAGACAGAAACCAGGCAAATACGGTAAACAGTTCTAAAGTGCGGGACTGTCTCAGGTGATACGGGACATGTGGGCACCCTATGAGGAAGTGGCAAGGCAGGGCTTATAAATGTAGCTAGTAAACTACTTAGACAAGAACCACATGCAAATGTGATAGTAGATACAATAGCAGGAGAAATGAATAAGAAAGAACAAGAGAAGTGATGATGAGGTAAGATCACTGACTGAGATGAAGTAGACCCAGGTTCAATCCCAGCCAGGCCCTGAGAAGTGATGTCTATGCATGGATGTCTGCGTGGCACAGTGTATGATTTTTGTCAGTGATTGTTGGGTGGGGCAGGTGTCTGTGATTGTGTATATGTGTGTGTATAGGTATGTGATTTATGTGTGTGTGGGTCTGATTGTGTGTATATGTGTGTGGGTCTATGATTGTGTGTGTGCAGATCTGTGATTATTTGTGTATATTTGTGTGTTTCTGTGATTGTGTGTTTATGTATGTGATTGTGTGTGGGTATATCTGTGATTGTGTGTATAGGTCTGTAAATGTATGTGTGTGATTGTTTATGCATGTATGTGTTTGTGGGTCTGTGATTGTGTATGTATGTATGTGTGTGTACATATGTGATTATGTGTGTGTATGTATGTGACTGTGTATGGGTCTGTGATTATGTATGTATACATTAGTGACTGTGTGTATATGTGGTCTGTGTGTGTGTATCTTTAGTTATGTGTGCATATGTATTTATATTAAAAAACAAAGGAAAAAAGTGACCTGCACTCTTCCCAAATCCCTATGCATATTTACATAAATGGAGGTTATTTAGTTACTCCGATGGCCATTAGATGTAAGCCCACCTCCCAAGTCAAGGCTAACCTCACAGGTGAGTCCTACACTGACTATTCACCTTGCTTTCTTGAGCTTCTGGCAAAGATATCTCTAATGAGACAGAGAGGGGTGATTTTTTTAAACCCCTATATGTTTTGCGGCTGATGTGCTCTATGGTTGTTGCTGCCGCCCAGGAGTAGTGGGAGTTTGAGCGCAGGACTTGTTTTTACATATGTATTTATATGTGTATAGGTTTAATAGATAGCTCCCTATTGTGGTATCCCTTAAAATATGCCAATCCCGCATATGGATAACAAATAAGGGAGTTATGTATTACTCAATTGAAATATAAAAATTAAGAAAAGGGCTTTTAAAGTTATATTACTTATATACATTATCTATATATCCAATCCCTCCCGATACTTGCCCCTCCTTTCTTCTCTCCCGGATTTAATTTGAATTAAGGTTATTTACATAGTAGAAGTGATGCAAGATCCAACAAAGGACACAAATTACAGAAGAAGAAATGTGTTCTAATGAGTAATTCAAATTTAGAAAAAAAGTTATACTTATTTGTCTTTTAATTAACATGTTTGATCCAGTATGTAGCATTTAGTATTAAGTTTATCAGGTTATCTTTGCATATAATATATTTTTAAAAAACTTTTCTCAAAAATGTTTTTAATTATATGAAAAATAGCACATATATATATATATATTTAAAAATCTAAGTTCACATAACGCTACATTTAAAAGGATATCTTTCAGGGCTTATAATATGTAATTCATTATCTAAAAGTAATTTGTTAGGTAGGATTTTTTAGAATTATCTTAATTGTATTATTATAGTTTATTAATAGTTTTAGTCTCTCTTTTGTTTCTCATTGCAATTCGGTTTTTTGTAATGACCTCAGCACAGTTTGATAAGGTTAAAGAGATTAAAAAGACTGTATGTTCCCGACAAAAATAAAAGAGAGAAAAACAGTGAAATTGTTCGTGTGAACATGCCACAACAAATATAGGTTTGTAGTTTTCCAACCATTTGATTTGACTCCAGTTATACGTAATTATACATATTCTAAATATTCTTCCCTTAATAATATTAAAAACTCAGATTCTAATTTATTTTCAATACCCCAGTCTCCTGCTGAGAGCATCAATCATGTTTTCAGTAGGTGTAATACTTGCTGATATAATAATAATAATGCAGAGCGCTCTCCCATTTCATCCCTGGGTTTGCTCTATGGGAGAGGGGCAGCCATGACTCTTCTAGCGGGGCCAGGAAATAACCACCTGGAACTCTATCTCGGCCAAGTACTTTTTAATGTATTATTATACAACACCCTCTTGTCTGGAAATTTAAAAAAATCAGCCCTGGATAATTTAATTATCTCGCAGGCACAGCAGTGCCAGGAAAAAAAACTATTGTCCCAGTTGATGACCCCCTGTTGTGCTTGTCTCTATAAATATGCATACTTGGTGACAATAAATGTTGTTGTTGTTGTACCCTTCACTAAGTGTCATCAAGTGTTTGGGGAAAGAACTATATTCACTTCAGTGCTTTATTCTCCAGCTACAGGGAACTATTAACAATGTTACTCATCCAGAGAACTGGGCTCCATTACATCTGGTGGCAGCAGTGGGAGTGATTACTGCTAGCCAAAACGGATAGAAGGTGAATGAAGCTATGAATGACTAAAACGCAGCACGTTAAAAGAGCTGCTGTAAATGAGAGGACAGGTAGCCAGCAACAAGTCGAAAGCTACCTTAGTCGCTGAACTGATGGCTGGGGGGCAAATGAGCATAGTGTCCTTCAACTCCAACAGTAAGGCGCTTTTAAACCCTTCATCAA